TTTCTTTGACAATAGAAGTAATTATGTGAGATCCTTAGAAATGAAGACGTATAGCATTAATTTTCTCTGTATATCCACTAATTATCTGCCTGAGGATGCAGAGATGGGGAGCTTGATTCCCCTGAAGAAGAGCCAGCCTGTGGGGTTGTGGGCAAGCTATCCAGTCCCAAGGATGCCATCAGAAAAAGGGAATAGTAAACCACTTCAGAGTATTCTATACCTAGAACCCCCTGAAAAGGGTCTCCATATGCCAGAATTTATTTGATGGAACATACATTATTTATTTCTGGTTTTGACTGCTATCGTAAGGCAAACCTTATGAGCTAATTGGAAAAGCTTGTTTTGAGATAGCATATTAGTATTAAAAACGCAGCAAAACAGATGATAACTGAAATCTAGTAAATTGCAATTAGAGTAGGCCCATTGAATTACTGAGAATTTGGTTAGTTGGCCTCTGTACATTCCACTGATTCAATTGGCCTATTCTAGTGGCAACTCACTACAGTGGTGCCTCGCTAGACGATGATAATCCGTTCCACTGAAATCGCTGTTCAGCGAAATCATTGTCTAGCGAAAAGCATTTCCCCATTGGAATGCATTGAAACCTGTCTAATGCATTCCAATGGGGAAGAATCGTCATTGTCTAGCGAAGATCGGCCATAGGACAGCTGCTTTGCGAACCACCGATCAGCTGTTTAAATCGCTGTCTTGCACAGCTTAGGTCCCAAAAACACCCATTTTGCGAGCACGGAGGGAGCTGTCAAAATTGTCATCTAGCGAAAATCGGTTTGCGAAGCAGGGACCAAACATTGTCCAGCGAAATTCCCTCATAGGAATCACTGTTTTGCAAAGCACTATAGTGATTGCAAAAAGTCAATGTCTAGCAAAAAAACTGTCATGCGGGGTAACTGTCTAGCAAGGCACCACTGTACTGGCTTTCAGCCATTATGTACTGATAGGTACTGATGTCCCTTTAACTCCTTTCCTGAACTATCAGTAAAGGTCCTATCAATCCCCTTGTTCAAAAGAAGTGAGCTACCAGGCGTTTGCTTGTATTTTCCTCCCACCATCCATGCATCTATCCAGAATTGTAATAGCTTTGCCTTCATTTAGCAACTCCACAGGAATTTATTTCTTTCAGCCGTATCTATTTAATGCTTTCTTAGTACCAGGTGTCTTGTGTGAACTATCCACATCCATACTTCATCCCCTAAACACAGTGCTTTGGGCAGGCTAGCAAAATATTGCTACATGATAGAAGAATTTTTAGTCAATATTTACATGGCAATTTAGATTTATTGCTATTTTTATTGCACCAAAGGCTACAGTCCTGCTTAGGCTAAGGTGGTAATGAGCCTCACCGAAAACCATGTGACTTCTGAGTCCAGATGCACAGCTGTGTGTGCCATCTGGACTCCATATAAAGTTGGGCAGCTGAAAGAGCATTACTCCAGATAAAGACGTTGGCATCTTACTATGTTGCAATCTTACTGTCCTGTCAAGTCTTGCTCCTTAGCGTCCCATAAAGTTCTTGTGTTTTAACGAGAGTGAGCTTCCAATCAAGTAAGTGTGCATGGAATTGGTGGCTTCAAGAGGAACATGTTTAGGATGGCACAAGCTTCTATAGGTCTGCAGCTCACGTCAACCAAGATACATCGGCATTATCTTCTTAAGAGGCACGGAAGACAGTCCACGAGCTATCCACACACATGTGGATAGCCCTCTCTGGTTGCGGGGGAAGTCGTAAATTGTGTGGTCAGAGAACGGACCTGGAATTTTAGTCCGGTGAAACTTAAGCAATTCATTCTCTTTCCCGGAGACAAGATGCCCACAGGATGAACAGGTCTCCGGACCCCTTAGAAAGGGCCACAGCGCGGGGCGTGCCGCCAGCCGAGAAGCGCTTCAGAAAGCCCCGCGCCCGCCCGAAGGTCTGCCAGGGTGCAGAGCGCAACAGGCTTCTACCCCTTCTCCTCCTTCCCGCCAGAGCTAAGGCGGAGCGAGGCTGGCACTCGGCCGCCACACGCCTTAGGGATCTTCCCCCGGCCGCGGAGAGGCGAGCTGACGCGAGAGAGTGCGCGCAAAAGCGGGCCACAAGGAGGGCGGGCTAGGCTGGGCTGAATCCGGAGAGAGAGAGAGAGGGCCCGAGTCCGGGACCTGCCCCCTTGGCTCCTCCTCGCCGCGGGGCTGCGGCGGCTGGCGGGAG